AGGGGTCGCTATGAGTTGGGTCCGACTCAACGGCACACAACAGCAACAACAAGTGCCTCCGAGGGTGCTCTAAGGAAGTAACCATCAAGCTTCTCTTACGTACAGTTTACAAAACAGAGAGTCATACAAAATCATGGGTACACATGTTCCTACATTCTACACAGGTGCAGTTAGGGTTACATACTTCTCCATACATTGCACATATAGAAAATGGTGGCTAAATTCTACCCAGAGGCAAAGAGGTTATATTCAGAAAGCACTTAATGACCTAAAAGTCACCTAGGGTACTAAGATGGCTGCCAAATCAACTCAGGCTGTTTTTGGCTAGCCAGGGGAGGTTGCAGGAAACAGGATAAGGGGTGCGGGCGTTGACTCACTCAGCTGTCCTGCTTATCCTGTAGGGCCAGTATGCTCTCACAGAGTACACATGAACATGCACCAGAATCACCTGGAGGGCCTGTTAAAACACACATCTCTGGGCCCCACCCCAGGGGATTTGATTCAGTCATTCTAGGGTGAAAGTTTACATTTCTCATGAGTTCCCAGCATTTGACTGCTAACCAGAAGTTTGGCTATTCAAGCCCACCAGCCACTCTGAGGAAGGAAAATGGGGCAATCTACTTCCATAAAGATTTACCACCTTGGAAACCCAGTGGGGGTTGCTATGAGTCAGAATCAACTTGATGACAGTGTTTTTTTTTTTTTTTTTTTAATAACCATTGCTGCTGATCCAGGGACCACGCTATGAGAACCACTGATCTGGAAGAATGGATGAATGAAATGTAGATCTGGTGAGATGTGGATTAAAAGAATCCTGGATACAAATCACAGCTCTAATTATGATCTTGGGTAAATTACCTAATTTCAGCCTTAATCAGTTTCTTCACTGTAAGCTGGGGATATAAACCAAAATCTGTTGTCATCAAGTCGATTACAATTTAGAGCAACCCTATAGGACAGAGTGGGAGCTCTGGTGGTGTAGTGCCTAAGGCATTTGACTGCTAACCAGAAGGCTGGCAGTTCAAACCCACCAGCCACTCCTGGGAAAGAATACCAGACAATCTACTTCCATAGAGATACCTTCTTGGAAACCCAAGGAGGAGTTGCAATGAGTCAAATCGACTTGATGGCAGTGAGTTTTTTTTTTTTTTTTTTTAATGGGACAGGGCAGAACTGCCCCATAGGGTTTCCAGGGCTGTAAATCTCTGCAGAAGCAGGCTGCCTCATCTTTCTCTCGTGGAGCAGCTGGTGGGTTCGAACTGCCAACCTTTCAGTTAACAGTTGAGTGTTTAACCACTGCAACACCAGGGCTCCTTACCTTGGGGTTATAATACTATCAAGTAGCATTTTGGTAAGGAGCAAAAGAAATAAAACACGAAAAGACTGCACAGTGCCTTATATGGTAAACTTCCAAAACCAAATTCACTGCCGTCACATCGATTCCAGCTCATAGCGACCCCCATTGGGTTTCCAAGGCTGTAATCTTTACAGAAGCAGATTGCCTCATCTTCCGTGGAGCAGCTGGCAGGTTTGAACCACTGACCTTCTGGTTAGCAGTCAAATGCCTTAATCAATACACCACCAAGTTCCATTACCCTTATATGGTAAGCACTTAATTAATATATGGCAGTTGTTAATACTGTTTCTGTAATTGAGACCGTAGCGTGTCCTTCACTTATTCAGTCAACAAATATTTACTGTTTCCGTTCATGAGCTACTTTCTCTTTCTCTTTCCCTTAATAAAAGCTTTGTTCATGTGAGTAACCTCAGCCTCTCCTGGTCATCCTTGGTCGGGGGAAGGCAAGTGCCTGACAGGGCCAACCCCTGATGGGGAAGGGGTCCTTGGAACAGTGTCCGTGTGCCAGGTCTTTCTCAACATGCTCACCTTGAATTACTTCATTGTAGGCTCCTCAAAGGAGCTCTGGTAGCATAGTGCCTAAGGCACTTGACTGCCCACCAGAATGCTGGCGGTTCAAACCCACCAGCCACTCCT